AGCTGGAATGGTAATTTTTTATCGGTTTTGACAGGTTATCGGTTTTGACAGGATCGGTTTTGAGAGGGTCGACTGTACCAGGTTTATCATGAGATCAGATTTTATATGGTATATAACATCTTTGATTCAGACGGGTATATACATGATACCAAGTAATTTATTAAAGGTTGAGTTGAATATATTCACCTCATATCACTTAGAAAGTTTTAATCTCAATAATAAGGAGACAATATCAGATATTAAGTTTATGTAATTATATAGCAGTTAACAATCTGGATCCGAGCTGTACAAATTCTAACAATACCGATATTGAGTATTTATTTAATATGGATAGTATATTATTTATATTGTTTATGTAATCTTATCTATATTTGGGATAAGCCAATCGAAATATTCACACGTAAAAATTTGGGACTATTAGCCATAATATAAGATATATGCTAAAATATTTGATATTACGGCAAATTAGAGATATTTTTCAAAACATAGTAACTACTATTTGGGATCTACCTAATTCCAAACTGATGGGTTTGGGTAGAATCACTGGTCCACGCTATGGTGTGGTGGCTTCTACTTTTAATAAGGTAGAAAGTTCGAGCCCACGCAATGGTGCTGCGCATTCAACTCGTTATACATGACAACATTTACTTTTGTGAGTTCGAGCCAACGCTATTGGTGCGGCGCATTCAACTCATTACACATGACAACTTCAACTTTAAGTTCGAACCCACACTATGGTGCGGCACTTTCAGCATGTTACGCATAATAACTTCAACGTTAATATGATAACATGATATGTTAAAATGCTTATATAAAACCTGATCAACAGGTTTAAAGCATAAACTTTTAAAGTTTATTAATTTTCAAGAACTGCTTAAAACAAATATGCTTTAACCCAATGCTTTAAACCTGCTTAAAGCAAATATGCTTTTAAACACAATTTTAGCTTTTCTTTTAAATATACTTTTAGCTTTGCTTTTAAATTACTAACATTCAACCTTTTCTTTTAAGTAGCCTTCTCTATCAACACACGTGTTATAAAATTCTATTTTTTAGATATTAGTTTTATACAAAAATTTAAATATGTATAATTTTAATCTTGTAAATTAATTTTTTTATTTATTTTAAATTATATAATCTTATTGTTATTCTTTATTTTATAATTAGAACCACTATTCAAGCATATATGCAACTAACAATAATGTGTTACTAGGTTGTAAATTTTTTTTATTATTATTTTTTTTTTATTAAGCATGCTAATATATATACTGGTTCGTGAAAACCAGTTTAGTCTGCTTCGGTACCAAAGCAGGTATGCTTCAAGCATAAACCAAACTGCGTAAGAACCCTATGGTGCGGCGCATTCAACTCATTACACATAACAATATTTACTTTTATAAATAGCAAGCTCGAGTCCACGTTATGGTGCGGCGCATTCAACTCGTTACACGTGACAACAAGTAGGGTGCTAGGGTGCTAGGTGCAATGAATGGGCAGGGGAGGTGAGTCTAACACGAAGGAGCCAGATCGTAATCGGACAGCGAAGTAAGAAAGCACTGAAATTCTCCATTTACTCCCACATCAACGTGCATATCTATAATCTCGATTACATGTGCACTATAATCTCTATCGCATACAATCATATGCATATCTATTATCCTTTCACATAAGCCACAGATCTGGTTATCCTCGCGATAATAACCCTAGCGTGACTATCGTTAAAATCGATCGAATTTGGAAAATAGTGTGATACAGACTTAAGTTGGCATTTGGACTAGTGTGCATGCGCATGAAGTTTGAAAAAAAGCTAATTTGCACATCATTAATTTGGACTTGGACAAATATGGACATTGCCAAATTTTTATGAATATTTCGGACATTTATCCTAATTTTGGCCTCGACCTTTCTTACATAGGTTGAATGATGGCAAATCAGGTACAAACCAGGTGTTTGATTTTAAGCTGTTACTGCCCGATTACTACCCAATTGATGTCAATTTTTAAAAAATAGACATCATTCGGTAGTAATCAGTTTATAATAGACACCTGGTTTTGTACCCGATTTGCCATCATTCAACCTGTGTTATTCTATCCGGAATATTTTGGAATAGCAAGCTCACGTGTTTATTTTGGACTAAGTGTTTATGCCCAATAGAAAATAGAGACAATAAGGGCATAATCCATAAATTTCCATGTCCAATGGTCCATATTGTCCATGTCCATATTTTGCCAACACTGCTTTACTGTGCTAATTGTGTTAATTAATATTAATATGTTAATACTGTGTTAATATGTTAATCAAACTAATCAAATAACAAATAACTAAATTTGACAAAATCAAGTTCCACAATTTTAAGTACGTACGCCATTTGTGTTAATAATTAAGGCTTTAAACAGCAAAAAAAAAAAAAAAATTATTATTTGCATTCAGTTAAATCAATTATTAGTCCCTTCAAACTACGACCCCAAATAACGCCTTTAGGCATTATTTCGCACAAATGCGTTACTTTAAATCAATATAAAAAGTTCCCAAAAGTCGTTTTTCCGAAAGGACATAATACCGACAAGGTTATCTGGATATTCGGGGAAATGAATTGTCACATTAATTTTCCGTGAAGTGACATATCAGGCATCTAAAAATATGTTGTGTTAGGAAAATGTATTAAAAGGGTATATCGGGAAAGTAAATTTCGGGAAGTCGTCGTTTTTGGTACGTACCCACGTACGTACAAACTTCGTGCTATGTTACACATAACACTCTGTGTAATTGTACGATAAATATTAAGTATACGAAACGGTTTATCAGCATTATCATACTTACGTATGTACGTATCTTCAAGAATTTGGATTTTAAAAAATGTCAATAAACACGGTCTATAAATGCTTCGCCAGTTTCTTCATCCTTGGCTTCAGCCTTTATTTATTTTATTTGTTTTACTACTTTTCAAACTACCTTCAGCCCTTAGAATCGACAGTCCCACTATTGGATATCATAAATGATACCTATACCAAACCCCCTCCAGGTGTGAACCAGAACCTACCGATATTCATCGGTATCATGACCGTTTATGAAAAGATTGAGATTAGGGAATGCTTGCGCAAATTGTATACACACAATAACGATGCTCTGACGCGGTATCTCGGAGTCAAGAGATCGCCTGTGACGATTAGGTTTATCCTAGGACTGCCAAAGAATGAATATATAGATAAGCTGGAGGAAGAGTCTAAAATGTACAAGGACATTGTTATTTTGAATATTACAGAAAATATGAACGAAGGAAAGACATTTGAATATTTCAAATGGTTTGCTAAGCATGTGAGTATTCTTGTCTTGTTATAAGGCTGTGCTCGTCAATAAACGTTCATAATCTTAAATAAGCTTAGAGGGAGGATAATTATATAGTCAAAACGGACGATGACACTTTCATCCACCTTATTCACTACTACCGTGACCTTCAAGACTTACCAAGAAAGCGTGTGTATTATGGCAATACTTGGATAGATGAAGATGGAAAACTCTCGTTTATGGGAGGTGTGTTTTTTATTCCCTTTTATCATCAACTCTTCACGAACTTTTGATCTAACACTCGAAATAAGGTCCAGGATACACTCTCTCGCGCGACCTCATTATAGACATTGTTGGATCACACTGGGTTGGTTCAAATGTCAAAGGCCCTGAGGACTGGCTAGTGGGTGAGTGGGTATGCCATGTGGCTAAGGAGAATAAGTACTTCGTGCATTATGTCGGCTATACAGGTTGGTCGTCCATACGCCAAAATCCCATCCGTGACTTTGACACGGATCTGGACCTCCACCTCTTTGTTGAGACTATCATGATACATATGCTAAAAGACATCGAGAAGTTGAATGCCATTAAGGATGTGTACTCCAAATACGAAGAGGGATTGCCAATAGTCAAAGTCATTCGGAATTCAACGGCCAAAGGCCTGCATACAAAGAGGGAGTTTGCTCCACAATGCTGGGAAAAAGATCAGATCTTGAATCAAACTTTGCAGAGTACCTACAAGAATTGGTTCTACGAAGCTTGGGGTTTTAAGGAGGGGAAGTGGTATAAATATTATGGGCCTGTAAATAATATATAGGATTAATGCATAGAAATTTTTATACATATTTTCATTACATAATTCATTATATAACTTGATAATGCTAACTAAAATCAACACTCTTTTAGTGCAAGTCAATAGGTCAGAAAATATTTTGCATTAAGAGAGAATTTGCAATTAAGAAAACTAAAATTAATACATAATTAATTCTCTCTAAATGCATTAATAAGTTAAAAAAAAAACATCTTGCACTCAGAAAAAAAATCTTTATTTAACTAATTTAATTGGTTATTAAAATATTAACACGGCAGACACGCCACCTATTTATGAATAATTAAATTTATAAGCTGCCAATCACCAAAATGTTGAACCTCTCAAAACAATATGCATGGTGGACAAATTTTGTATCAGTATTGAGAGGTTATCCGATTTGAAAACAGTGTAAACTATGTTAGAATTATATAGCGGAAACGGACTTCGTGGATTAATTTTTTTCAGATTGACAGGATTGGTTTTGCGAGGTTCAACAGTAGATTACAATCTTTTTAAAATCCGATAATCTATTAATACTGATACAAAATATGTTCACCAAGTACTGTTGAGCCTCTCAAAACTGATATACATGGTACAGTAGACAGATTTGTATCAGTATTAAGAAGTTATTGAACTTGAAAATATCGTAACTAGAGATGGGAAAAATGCGCATTAATGCGCACGTTATATAAAATGCGCATGATATCGCATGATATAATTTTTTTGATTTTATGTTTTCACTCCGGAAAATATCGGATATTTGCCAAAATTTTTCCCGACCCTTCTCAACTTTACGTTCATTCATTTACTTTTCGGAATTTTTCAAAACTTTTGCATTCCTATTTCCTAATTTTGCCTGGCATTATACACCTTGGCCTAAATTAAATATACTTTAAATTTCCTATATAAAATTTAGATGGGATAAAATGCGCATGAATGCGCATTAATGCGCACGATTGAGGAATCTCTAATCGTAACAACTGTTGAACCTCTCAAAACCGATCCTGTCGAAATTGATAATCTGTTATCTGACAAAAAATTAATTCATTAAATCGTTTCCGCTATTTAAATCTAATAGTATACAATGCTTTCAAATCCTATACACTCACAAAACCAATCCTATCAAAATTGATAACCTGTCAAATCTGTTAAAAAAAATTAATAATTACAATTTTTTCAAATTTAATAACCTTTTGATACTGTTAGTTTAAATATGGTGATGACTAGGTCTAATATAGCTCAACCTAAAACTAATTAAACCCAGCATAGCGGGCTTTCGTTGTAATTGGTTAATTTTTTGTAGATCATTTTGTGACCTTCATAAATTCTATTGGTTCGGAGAATTGAAGGTTTGTGTAACGTCTCATCAACCGATTAAAGAATTTAATAAATTCTTTTACATTTTCTAGTATTGTAGTACTGTATATAAAAAAAAAGCAGGGTCAATATATAACAAAATGTCTACGCAAGAACAACACAATGAAACCAGTTCTAGTGCCGGTCCTGATGCAAGAAAAGGCAAAAGAAAAGTTTGTAGTTGCGATCTGGAAAGTTATAATAGTGTCATTTGTAATTACGAGTTGCATGGCACTTCAATCATAACTAACCAAATAGTTATACCAGCATCAAGCCAACATCTAGATTTAGTCGACAAAGCTTTGTGCAGAAAACACTATAATAAATACATTGTTAATGCAAAAAAAAAGAAAACCAAACTAACTAATATATGCACTCATCCCAAACATAGAATTTATTTAGCTACAGCTTGAAAAGAAGAAATGAAATTTTGGAAGGTCCCAGAACATTTAATTGGATTTTTTAATTTAGCAAAAGAAGCAATAATGTATAATAATTGCTTATATAAGACAGATATCGATCCAGAATATATCAACTTGCCTGATTATCCTCCAGCAAAAGAAAGGATTCTGAAAGAAAATATAAAACGATTTCAAGGTAGGTCATATGTTTTACGTGGCGATGTTATTTATTCAGAGTCTGAATTTCAGGAACTGGAGTCTGTGTATCATGAGGTATGCGCAGAACTCGATAAAGCAAAATTAGGTGAATAAATAGCTTTTATTTGTTATATATTTTTTTATATTTTATTTATTTATTTTTTTTAGAGCTAATTCCTCTAAGTAAGAAGATCAAGCTAATGGTGGGAGTATTATACACAAGGCAGCATGTGTATAATGAAAGACCTGTTCTTGATCCCGATGAGTTCAAGAAAATGCTTGAGAATGCTGAGCCGTCATTGAAGGGTTTCTTTGATCAACTGGTGACTGGGACAAATCCGCAAGCTAAGAGCCACATGACTAACAAAAAAAATATAAAAGACTTGTGTCATTTTGCTATTTTCTTGCAGGTCTTAATAACAAATTTATCAACGGTGTTAAGGCAGAGGTAGGACTTTTATTAGATGCGTCTGGTGCATCCTTGTCAGCGATTGAGACCTTGGCTGGTGCAGGTCTAACAGTAAGACGTGAAACTATCACCAAACAGAAGGCTCGACATGTACAAACATATACAAAGACAGTAGAAATTTTTTTAACAGAAAATGTAAGCGTATTGGTTTTTATTTATTTATTATTATTATTTTGTAATTAATTTATATACTATTTTTAGTAGGTTGAAAATTTGGTTGTTTTAAACATGAATGATTTTCATAATATCCACAAATCTTGTCATAGTGATTCAACCACTACATTTGATACTACTCATTTTATTACGATACTTTTAAAGGCGTTGCCAGAAATACCTTCAATTCCGTTTAATAATCCCAATCAAGAAAATAGTGTCCATAATAAAAAGGGTATTGAATCAAACATTATTATTGAGAATGCAGACTCACTTTTTTTTTCCAATTTATGGCTTAGTTATACAGGGCGAAAGAATGTATTTTCTGATTTATTTGTGGAAGAAACTCATAATGAACGGGTCGAATGCCTCCTAATTCATAGCTACAATGATAGAATTGAACAACGTCAGGTAGATCGAAGTATGGAAAATACAAAACTTGTCAATTTAAAAGAGAGATTTTTTCATTTAACCGAAGAATATGTGAATGCACTTAAGTCTTTAATAAGTGTTCCTGAAGCAGAGAATTATATGAGAACACAAGTTTTTATAGCACCTATAGACTACCCTGGACAACTTCATGTACAACATGCTATCACTCGTTGTATTAAATTTGGAAATTCCGGAGCAAGTTTTGCATGTGGTCCCAATGATTGGACCCTTGCATGTATCCTTAAATAGCCGTGAAATGGTGTTTATTTTAAATTACCATTTTTTTGATTTACTTTTTCATTCAGTTTTTGGATGTAATAAGGTGCTGGCAAAAAAGCCAAAGCCTTATAGAATTAATTTAATTTTAGAATTAGCATGTCAAGGCTGGCTTCGAATTCGTTCTACAGTTATGCGAAAATTCGAACATTCTAAAGATCCTGAAGCTCGTTATCTTATTAATCTACTAGATAACATCGTTCTGTTGGTTTTAGACTTTTACCCCATCGTCTTTCATAGTGGAAATTGGTAAGCGTATCTGGAAGCAATGTTTCGAGTTTGGACTGTTTTTTATCAGTATCAACGGAGACATTATAATAAATTACCATTGATGTTTTTAAGTGATGTTTTTTATTGGTTTAGTACTAATCATCCTATTTTACAAGTCCTTATAGGATCAATTCATGTTTTTAATAATTATTACGTAGAAAATTTTCACAGCTCGTTGCGGCAACAAATACATGGATCAAATACAGCAGAACAAATCATTCAAGAAGCACGAATCATTGATCAGATGCGTGGCAACAATTCTTTTACAAATGTGTTTGCCGAAAGTCACAACATTAGATATTTAGCAAGGCAGCTAGAATATCTTGAAAAACGTACTACACTTTTTCTACTAAAATTATTCACAAATGTTTATAGAATCTTGGTGGGTCGAAAATTATTTTTTCCAATGCACATTCGAAGCCAGAGAAATATGAATTTTTGACGCTAAAAACCAAAATCGACATAGATATTTTGCCAATGGCTTGGAATACATCACATATTCCACATAATGACAAATGTTGTGACTTAGAGGATTGTGTAGATTCTTGTGAGGTAGGTCTTGTTCTAATTTGTGAACATGCTTATCATTACGAATGCTTTTTTTCAAATTAGGAAGCCGATGCCAATATTGTATTGATTATCTTACAAGCAAAATCAAAAAAAATTGTAAAGCTTTTCAAAAAACATTGGAATCATTGAGTAAAAAAGCAAAAGCTCAAGGCTCAGATAAACAAGAGGCTACCAAGGATACTGAAGCCGATGATAATACTGGTAATGAAAATTTTTTTTTAGACGAAACTGTTGATTGTAATAATATAAATTTGCTTGTTAAGGGAGCTATGGGTACTTTAGCAAATACGCATTTGTGAATAGATTTTTTTACAGATTATAGATTTTAGAATTGGTTCATGAATTGTATGTAAATTTTTGGTCATTTTCAATAAATAATTTTTTTATATTTAATAAATATTTTTTTTATATTCAATAAATAATTTTTTTATATTTAATAAATAATTTTTTTATATTCAATAAATAATTTTTTTATATTTAATAAATAATTTTTTATATTCAATAAATAATTTTTAATAAATATTTGTAAATAGTTTTAAATAATAGAAAATAAATTTTTAAATAATTTTAAATAATTGTTCGAGATATGTTTAATAAATAAATTTTTATTTTATTTTGTCGCACATATACATTATTATGATATTTTTAATAAATAAATTTTCTATTTTATTTTTCAATACTTATTATGCATATACATTGTTATAATTACGCCCAAGCGATTTTGAATACTAATTAACAATATATTTTATTAACTTAATATTTTGCAAAGGTTTGTCTATACACTATTTTTATTAACTTAATATTTTGCAAAGGTTCATCTATACACTATATTTACTATTCCACTTCCATATATTCGACCCTTTTCTTTTATTCATATTTCA